TATATTAAAATAATTTTGAACTTACTAAGAATTGCAAAGATACTATAGAAATTTTCCCTAGGCCCTGAGAACTAAAAATGAAATCCTAAGACCACAAATTGGCTGAACAGACCCCTTCTTGCCTAAGGGGCTGCAGAAAAACCTTACAAACTGAGTTCCCAGCTGTGACCATACCTTGAATATGCCTCATTATACCCCTCCCTTTTGTGATTTAGATACAACTGACTATCGTTAGTGTTCAAACAGAGATCATAAGACTGGCAGACTGAACTCTTTGTGGCAATAAGATATCAAATTATAAACAGGACCAAGGACCACGCCAAACGAGTGTTAAGTTATGCACCCCTACACTTATAGAATTAACTATGTTCTAACTGCCATAAGGGTTTTCTTTCTCCTCTAGCAGTTAAACAAGCACTGGCCTCAAGGTAAGCAATATTAAAACAATTGCAGGTCATCCACTACCAGACTCTGACTAACTGACCCACTGTTCTACCAGCTATAACTACAACTTTGATTGGACAAGGGACTAATTTCAGTAACCTTCTCCTGATAAAAAACCAAGGGTCATGAATGTGTTCTGTCTGGTTTACAGACTGCACATTGAATGCCTCTGCGTTCCTGCTTCACCTTTTAATTGTAAACATTTAAATATTAAGTCTCCACCCCAAAGTGAACATAGATTGTATGCAACATGCGTGTTTATTCAGTACACATGTGTTAGGAACCCTTTGTGAATATTCATAGTTTCTCCTGTAACTTGTTGAATATGTTTAGCAAATCTGTTTCCCATAAGTTCTTGTCTTATCCTCTTCTCCCTCCGTGGGCTTGCTTTTGGTTTTGGCCAGAGACTGCACTTCCTACCTGCCAGTTTGGCTCCCCTTCTTAAGAAATAAAACTCTCTCCCGCTCGGTGGCTCAGCCTGTAATCCCACGCCTTTGGAAGGCTGAAGTGAGTGGATTGCCTGAGCCCGCGGGTTCGAGACCCACCTGAGCAGGCGAGACCTCATCTCTACAATAAAATCAAAAAATTAGCCAGGCGTGGTAGCGCGTGCCTGTAATTCCACTACTTGGAAGGCTGTGAGGCAGAAGGATCCCCGGAGCCCAGCAGGTCGAGGCTGCGGTGACCGGGAGCGGCCACTGCACTCCAGTCTGGGCAACAGAGTGAGACTCCAACTCAAATAAAAAAAAAAAAAAGAAAAAGAAATAAAACTCTCCTCTCCAGATTTTTTAAGAGCTCAGTATTTTTAAACCCAGCTTCTCCTAATGTTAGCAATATACATAGCCATGATATAATTAATCAAAACTAAGAAATTAACATGGCTACAATATTACTATCTAAACTTTTAGAATTCATTCACATTTCCTCAGGTTTTGTTTTTCCCCCGTTCCAAGAATCAATTAAGGATCCCACATAGTATTTTGTTGTCTTATCCCTTTAGTCTTCTCCGGTCTGTTACACATTCTTAGTCTTTCCTTTGCTTTCAGGATGTTGAGACTTTTGAAGAATATTGATCAGTTATTTTGTAAAATGTTTGTCAATTTGGATTTGTCTAATGTTCTCTCACAATTACACTGAGGTTATGAATTTAAAGGATGAAAACTGCAGAGTTGATCTGATCTTCACATCACACAATATCCTTGAGGTACATGGTACTGATACGTCTCATTAATGCTGATGTTAACTTAATCACTCGGTAAAGATGGTGTCTGCCAGATTTCTGCCCCATAAGCTTGCTATTTTTGTCTTCTACACACTATAGAGTAGAAACACATCATTAATACCAGCCTACCACTCAAGTCTTTGATCCAGTTTCTCTCATTCATTTTTATCTTATCTTTCTTTCTTTCTTTTTTTAATTGGAAAATATAATTTACTTGAAAGTAAATGAGAAAGAGAGAGAGAAAAAGAGCAAGAGCGAGAGCGAGAGCGAGAGAGAGAGAGAGAGAGAGAGAGAGAGAGAGAGAGAGAGAGAAGAGATTCACTTCCCCAAGAGAGAGGAGGAAGCCAAGGCTAGGAAACATGGTAGCCATAGCTCAAAGAGCCACATGGACACACCAGAGTTTAACAAAGCAATAGCCTCATTCTCTTTTACATAGAACAATTAACCATTTTGGTAAACACAGATGTTTATGATTTTATGAAGCCAATACTCTCTACCTTAGAAAAACTTTAATGTTAATCAGGAAACAATGTAAGCAATTATACTAAAATGTAGAAAGAAATGCTTGATTTAGTTAGCTCAACCAGAAGAATGAAATGAGTTTTAAAATATCAGAAGTAAAATGTGTATAGCAATGAGTAAGTTTAGTAATTGTATTAATACAGCAAAAGATCTCAAAAATCAGTTGTAACATCAGAATTAACTGGATTTATGGTAGAGATGAATCTGATGTTAAGGAAAAAACCAAAATTTTAATAAAATGTTCTAGAAAAATCACCTGGTATGCTAGCAAAAATAAACCTGTTTGCATAGGTAAAGATTACTGATGGATGTAGAATTGAGTATAAAAGCATATTTACAAAAAAGGAATTGAATGTGTGTAAAATCAAAAGAGACAAGTGACTTGAGGAGAGATGTGGTTCGATGGCCTAGACAGTGATTAGAAAAATATACAAACAACTGTCTACCTCTTTGCACACAGGTGAAATAAAAAACAAGTGTCCATCAAAAGACTATGGCTACAATGCATACAAATGTTTATGACAAAGATTACAAATCATAAAATATAAATCAATAATGTGAATGTCTAACATCAATTCTAAAGTAAATGAAGTAAGAGGTAAAATAAAATCAGACTTGATTATAAAACTTGACTCTAAAACCTGAAACTAACAAGCAAATTAGTTGGCCATTGAAATTCACTACAAAGTAATATTAATTTGAATAATGATCAATCACTATTTTCAATGTTTTAAATCAAGTATATAAATAAGTAATAGTTTAAATTAAATAAATGAGATATCTAAAGTGTCTAATACATCATGATAAATATAGTTAATTCAGTGTATAGAAATTCGCAATGGGAAGAGATCTTAAGTGTTTTCGCAAACATACAAAAAGATAATTATGTCAGGTGATGAATGTGTTAATTAATTTGATTGTCAGAATCAGTACACAAGCTATACACATACCAAAACACTACATTTTATACCTTAAGTATGTACAATTTTTTTTCGTCAATTACATATCAATAAAAAATTTAAAGATTGTGTTCCAATTCATTCTTTGAAAATTATTTTTAGGAAACATTAAGAAATATGCATGGAGATGTTAACCCATGTTCTCTTCTGGGTATCATATTATTTCCCAATTCCACTTCACAAACAAGCTTTCCAAGACAATTTTTTTTACATAGTGAACTCAGTTATCCTTACTGTATTTCTTCTGCAACTCACTCCTGTCAGGTTTCTTCTTATTCATTCTATAAAGCCAGGTTTTCCTAAGGTCACTGGTGACCTAGGTCAACTAGAACAGGTCAGACCTCAACTTCCTTAAAAGCTCCATTGTCTTCCCTTCGTTACTCTCTCCCTCATTCTATCCTATTTCTTCTTCTAACCCCACTGGTCACTTCACTCCAGGGCCCTTAGCATATTCTACTTTTCTGCCCTGCCTCTGGCTGTTGAGGGTCTGCAGGACAAAGTATATGTTATTGTTTCATTGTTCCTTCCACATTCATTCCCATGACCTCATTACCAGACATTAAAGAATTCCAATTTAATAATGGCATTTGTTGTTTATTCTAGATCCATATTCCCAGCTGCCCATAAGATTTTTGGAATTACAATTGTCCCACATTATACTTGGAGGATTGGTTCTAAACCCCACTCCCACCACCATGGGTGGTACATATGGATTTGCATATGGATATGCAAATCCTGCAGATGGGTCTGTGGAAGCCAGGAATACAAAAATTTGGTCCACTCTATATGCAAGTTTCGCATCCTACAAATACTGTATTTTTGGTTCATGTTTGGTTTTGAATGCTGAAACCACAGATATGGAGGGTAGACAGTATTTATTGAAAAAAATCCACATGTAACTATAACTGCACAGTTGAAATGCATGTTGTTTCAGGGTCAACTGTATGTGTCTTCCAGGAACACTGGGGAGGACATCTAATTTGTTTTCCCTTCTATTGTCACCTGTACCTAAAGCCTCTGGTGTGAGAACACCATCTTCCTTTACTTCTCTTTCAATTAGCATTTATTCTAATTGAAATAAAATAAGTACTAGTACTGTTTTTAAGCCTCCTTCTCTGTAAGACTGAGTCTCAACACAGTGGAAATTATAGTTGCTTTATTACTGCAAGAAAAGGAACTGAATGTGTGTAAAATCAAAAAAGGCAAGTGACTTAAGAAGAGATGTGGTTTGATGACCTAGACAGTGATCAGAAAAATATATAAAGAACTGTCTACCTCTTTGTAAACAGATGAATTTTTTTAAAAAAAATGTCCTTCAAAAGACAACAGCTAAAATGCATAGAAATTTCTTGAAGGAAATTCCACAATCTTCCATTTACTTAATTTATATATGTCACATGAATTGAATGAATGACTAAATAAATTTAATCAACATTTTTACAATTTGCTTTACAAAAGACAAATTCAAGTCATTTCTTGGATAAAACTTTAATAAACAAAACACATGCAAATTTAATAACATAGAAAGGTGATCAAAATTGCAGATTTTAATACAGTGTGAAAATGAATACATCATATGTAAAATATCTAAATATTATAAAAATAATAGTTGCAGAAAAATTTAAATAAATAGGTAATAAGTGAGTAAATAAATAAATAAATGACATTAGGGCAGTTATGCTTTAGGAACTGAAAAACAGCTGAATATTTTTAACATATACTTGCTCAATACTATTAACAAAGTATTTGCCAAATTTGATTCAATAAATTCTGTGACAAAAGCAGAAATAAGAGTCCAGACATATTCACAGACACATGTGCAGTGCAATATGGCAGATTAGTCAATTGGGATCCATTCAAGATGACCCCAGGTCTCCGTCCTTATTCCTTAACCTTTCCTGCAAGTTTGCTGATAAAGAGACTGATCTCATGATTTCCACTCTGACAACTTCCCAGGCACAGTTGCTGTATTTCTTCTCTTTCAGATAGAGATGGATTCCCTGGAAGTACCTCTTCAAGGCCAGTGTAGGGCCCTCAGCCACCTGGGCAGATTCTTCCACTCCCATCTCCTGCACCAAGCAGGTCTCCAGGTGTTCCAGCTGCTGATGAAGTCCAGCGAGGAGTTTGTCCAGGAGGGTGGTGTTCCAGGCAGCAGAGGAGCGCTCTGTGTGAAAGAGGTTGAAGACCTGCTGCAGCATCTCGTGGAGGACAGACACGGCCTGGGGCACCTGCAACCAGCTGCCATCCACCATCTCCTGGGAGAATCCGAAGTCGTTTCTGTCCCGGAGACACAAGAAAGGGGAGATTCTCCTCATCTGGCTCAGATTCACCAAGGTCTTCCTGCTAAGCAGGCCATGGCTCTGAGGCAGGTCACAGCCCAGAGATCCAGCAGCACCACAGCTGCACACCACCAAGGCCGCCAGTAGAGGCAGCAAAAGGGCCATTGGGAAACGAGGATGCTGGGAGTCTGACTGAGCTGTGGTCTGGGTGAACCTTGGACCCTATGTTCTCTGTCGACTCTCTTTCTGTGCCTGGCTTTTAAACAGGGAACACGATTTTCATTTTCTGAGCTTTCTTCTACACTTTTGCTTTCCTTTTTTGTTTTCATTTACATAGTATCTGTAAGGCCTAAGAAGGTATCAATCTAAAGTCTTAATTTTTGCAATAAAATTTCCCAGTAAACTTCAGATGTGTCATAGATTTATAAATTAAAAGAGAATTTTCTTTATCCTAAAGATTGGGTGTATATAGATATATAAATACGCAACACACATATGCACACACATACTTTTTAAAAATTAAGTTATCCCTTGGTATACTTGGAGGATTGGTTTCAGGAACCCTGTGTATATACTAAAGCAGGCATACTCAAATCCTGCAATAGGCCTGCAGGAACTTGCATATATAAAACTTCAGTCCTCTGTATACTTGGGTTTCAAGTCCTGTGAATACTGGATTATCTATCTACATTTGGTTGAAAAAAATCCACATAAAATTTGAGCCTGGTCAGGCTCGGTGGCTCAACCTGTAATCCCAGCACTTTGGGAGGCCAAGGTAAGGGGATTACTTGAGCCCGCGAGTTCGAGACCAGCCCGGGCAACTTGGAGAGCCCTTTTCTCTACAATAAAAAAAAAAAAAAATTAGCCAGCCATGGTAGCGTGCGCCTGTAGTTGTGGCTCCTTGGAAGGCTGAGGCAGAAGGATTGCCGGAGCCCAGCAGGTTGATGCTGGGGTGGCCATGTGTGTGCCATGGCACTCCAACCTGGGCGACAGAGTGAGACTCCATCACAAAGAAAAAAGAAGAAAGAAAAGAAAAAAAAAAGTTGAGCCTCTGCAGTTCAACCTTGTGTTGTTCAAAGGTTAGCTAGTATGTATCACCTTTTTCTGTTGCAGAAACCCATTATTAGTTCTTATTCTGGATGGCATTTGTACCTTTCATACTTTACATAAGAAGGCAGACTCTTTAAGCCATATGCATTCTGTATTGTTTAGAAGCTTTCTGGACCATCTGTGGCCTTTAGGACTCTGAGTTCTTTAGAACAAAGATAGAGTTTTGTTGGCTGTTTTATTCACAACAGAGGGTGATTATTATTAGTGGATGGTTCTCCGATGTTTTTCTTTCTTCAAGAAAACACTCAAGGAGGGAGGAAGGAGGGTGGGGAGCACATGACAGTGGTTCATTACCAGTAGTAGCGAGGGCCAGTTAGAAGCAAAAACTTCACCTGCATGCAACTGACTTATGTAGTTAATCCTCACTTGTACCCCACGTTCCTATAATCAAATAATTTTGTTAAATAAAGAGAGAAAACACTCATGCAGTTCCTTGCAGTTTCATTTCACTGGAGCCACAAGGTCGGGATTAATATAGCAATTTCTCTTTCTTTCCACCATGTGCTACTGAAGTCTATAGTGCCCCTCTGACTATGTCAATATTCTAGCAGGAATTCTGGTTCTTAGCAGGTGCTTATGGGTGTGGAGATTCTAATTCTCAGATAATTTATTTCCTCGGCACCACCTCACTCACAATGTAGTTATCACGTGTAGTAAACCTTCTCCTATAGAGTGACTAAGTGTCCTCAACCCAAACTCTTCAGACTCACTTCCTGAGAGCAGACTCCCCATATCCTGATGACTTTGCTAGAACTCCTTTAGAGAGGAGGGACTTGTTTATTTGTTAGCAAAACAATGAATCCTCCAAGACCCTTGCTGTTGCCCCTAGAGTGTTCATATGAAGAACCCGAGCTCTCTGTAGAGAGCTCTTCCTATCCTGACCTATGTGCCCAGGCACCAGATGTTTTAACAGTTCTCAGATGCTGACAGCAAAGGTTTCTTTTGTCTGAGGGGGTGGAGGAATTATTATTTTTGACAGATAGTTTTTATTGTTCATGTCTTTTCCTTAAACTATTGAAGACTTATTTCCAGTGTTTCTCAGGTAAGCACAAGGGATTCAGTGATGGTGCTGTTTTCCATTAGAAGCTCATATTACAGGAGTTAGTGACCTTCAGTTGTTCACGTATCACTGTGATTCTCTTGGGCTTCTTTGCTCCTCTGTCTCTGACAATGCAGGGCAGTGAGGGCCAGACTCTTATATCAGAGAGATAGCCTTTTCTCTTTTGTGATTTTTCACTTTAAATTTAGTGCTTTAACACGTAGTAATTTACTGGGCAAGGTCTATCTTGCTATTTCTATCTTTACATTATAATTCATGATGAAGCAAAGCAAATTAAAAGAGATTTTAAAAAGGCAAAAGGACCACACTTTTTTCTCTATATTTTTCATGACTTCAGATTTTTTCATTCTCATTTCAACTTTCCTAGAAAGCAAAACTCGATAGTTGTCAGTGGATAAAAAAAATTGTAACTTCAAATGTCATGAAAGTGAAAAGAGAAAAGAGACTTTCTGTTGACAAAATGGCAAAGTGTAAGTCAGAAAAATTCAGTGTGGCAGAACTGGGGACTAAGGACTCTGGCAGAGGGGAAGATGAAGGCCAGTGTTGAGGACACGGAGGTGGGGAAATTGCTGCTTCTGCCAGAGGCTCAAAGAAGAGCAATTCCTCAGTTAATGGACTACCCTAAACTTTGCAAGATTAGCCTTTCTATGGTTTCTTTCGTTCAATCCACATGTGATCAGCTCTGAGAACTAAAGGGAGGAGTCACACCAACCAACCCACAAGAGATTGGCAACCAGAAACCCAGTCACTAGAACACTAACCCTCTCTGGCAGGATAATAAATGTGTTAGCCTTGCCTGAGCATCTACCTACTTAATAACCCACTCATGCTAGCCCAAAGATGGCTCTGAGTAAAGTACAGTTCAAAGAAACAGAATTATATGATTCCAAAAGATTTTCCTCTTAATCTGTTTAATAATAATGATATCAAAAAATGATAATACCAAAATTTATTGCATGCTAACTATGGGCCAGTCACTACTTTAAGATCATTGAAAACATTAACTCAGTAAATATATTTGGATTATACTCACCCATACAACTGTTCGTAGAGAAATATATATCTAGAGGGATAGACTAAAAAATTCAAGGTCAAAACCATAGGTCAAGCTGAGATAATGGTGAGTCGGGAAGAAATCATTAAAAGAAGTGGACATGGGATTTATGAATCAAGGAGAAGCCAGGTCATGAAAATAGGAACCTGAAGGGTGAGTTATAAGGAATTCTAAGATTCACTTCAAATTCCAAAGGGTTGATGTCTATTACTATACAGAACAACGGGGGATATAGTATGAATAAATTGAACTGACTACCTTTAAGTTTTAAGCAAAAGTGGACAAAATACCACTTAAATAATTACAATGGAGTAGTTTTTTTGTCAATTAAAAAATAAAAGCCTCAAATTTAATAAGCGATTTCACCAACAGCAGACTCCTGGAAGTCTATTTATTTCTAACTCTGGAGTTTTCTTATGAATTTAATAATAAACAAAAAGCACTTCATCAATTTTCAGTCTAAGGACAGCCCAACCCTGTAGGCTCTGACTTTGTCTTTCAGGTCCTGAGTTTCTACTGTAGACCTTCTTCAGGACAGCCTGTCATTCCCAAGAATGACAAATCAGTTTTTCACTTCCAGGAAAGACTGGACTTTGTGTTTTCTACTGATAGAATGCAGTGAAGAACATTTTGTCCTCTTTTGTATTTTTATCCAATGCTTGAATTTTCAGGACCAAATGACCTTGTGTATGACCAAGATGGAGAAATATTATGCACTTCCTACACAAAAGCAGAGTGCTTTTTTTTAAAGATGTGGAGTACAAGTCAGGATTGGGTACATAAGTGGTCTCTGTTCAAGTGAAGTTTTGGTCTCTCATTGGTCCTCACTACGCCTGGATGAATGCTTTTATTTTGTTTGTTTGTATTTGAGTTGGAGTCACTCCATTGTCCAGGTTGGAGTGCAGTGGCACCCTCGTGGCCACCCCAGTGTCTACCCACTGGGCTCAGGTGATCCTTCTGTCTCGGTCTTCCAAGGAGCTGGAACTATAGGAGTGTGCTACCAAGCCCGGCTAATTTTTGATTTTTGGTTGTAGAGACAAGGTCTCGCCAAGTTGCCTGGGCTGGTCTCGAACCCACGGGCTCAGGCAATCCACTCACCTTGGCCTCCCAAAGTGCTGGGATTACAGGCTGAGCCATTGCCCGGCCAGGATAAATGCTTTTAAAGGGCTACTTACCAAGGACAGTCTGGCTTTGACTCTGAAAGTGGCCACACTGCTTAGTCAGGTTGTCTTTGGCTGTCTATAGTTGGTATTGAAACTGATTACTTTCCCACACTTTACTTGTATCTTGCTTCTGTTTCCTAAGCTGTAAAAGATGTCAATCCTGTAATCGCTGAGATGTTGACCTGCCTACCTGTGTGCACAAACATGTATGACCCACACAGTCACAGAGTCACAGGGAGCTTTTTCCATTGACCCGGGATTGCATATTCAGTCAATGTGTTGCAAAGACTTTCATGCTCCTGCAATACTTACAGCAATACAGCAGTCTCAATGGCTGTCTGGGAATTTGGGATAGTGCCCTAGGTCATCAGTACAGAAAGTAGCCTGTTTCACATGAACTCACAGCAAATGGAGATTATGATAACCCTGACAAAAAGCTTCACTAGAGTTTCTATTTTATATGACTAGAAAAGAGTTTTTTGTTTGTAGGTCTCTTTGGTTTTTTGTTGTTGTTGTTGTTGTTGTTTTGCGTTGGAGTCTCACTCTGTCGCCCAGACTGGAGTGCAGTGGCCACTCCCAGCCACTGCAGCCTCAACCTGCTGGGCTCTGGCGATCCTTCCGCCTCAGCCTTACAAGTAGCTGGAACTACAGGCGTGCGCTACCAAACCCGGTTAATTTTTTGATTTATTATAGAGATGAGGTCTCGCCAAATTGCCCAGGCGGGTCTCGAACTTGTGGGCTCAGGCAATCCACTCACCTCGGTCTCCCAAAGTGCAGG